CAACAAACACACACACACACACACACACACACACACACACACACACACATGAAGTGACTCTTAAACAAATCCATAATACTATTTTCTAATAATCATCAAAAAATTAATAGGTGAATTGGATGAGGGCTTAGAGACCATATTATAAAAACTGGTCCTTGGAGTTGCTAAGTCAAAACAATAGCTATGATTATTATCTAAATGGTCCAAACAAGAAAAAAAAAAAACTTGAGTTGTCATCAATAACTAAATTCTGTCAAAATAAAAAAAAAGTCCAACAATGTTTCACAATCTTGGAAAGAAGTGTGAACTAGAAATAATATCTTCTAGTTATCTTCTCTTTGAAAGATTCTAAATCTTCTACTTAACCACTATATTACAGGTCTCTATCCAATTGTTTTCTAGAACGTATTCCTGCATCCTGTTGGACCACCTTTCTTCAGTCAAACTACTTATCTAATTTCCCCTCCCCTACCTCATGTCTTTGCCTGCTCAATTCTAATTCTAAATGTCCTATCATTCCCATCTCAGTGTATGGCTATCAGTTTGAAAGGGTAACCTAAGTCCATTGTTGTGGATTGTGGGTGAAATAGTGACAGATCAGAAGATCAGGCACACATCTACTTAATCTCAGTTGGTGGTAACCATATAGGATTTCATTCCTAACATACTGCCTTGATGAGACCCAGCAAAGAAACCTCACACTGTTGCTTACACATGCTGTGGCTTTAAATAAATGACAGGCATAGCCATTTTTAATTCAGTTGGTATTTTTTCCATTTGTTTACTCTAAAGGATTAAGTTTATATTGTTCTGATTGTTCACAAATGTAGCCTGCTCTTGGCACCACCCTACTGGGTCTAGTCAGAACCTGTCCATCAGAAATTCAAGCTCAAGGCAGACAACACAAACTCTGGTATCATGGGGCTCATAAGTGAAGAGCCTTAATGGATTCCAGCAGGGTTCTTAGGGTTGCCTGGATATTCTCCAAACATTGATTTGTAATTTAAAAATAGCAAAATTATTTTTCAACTTGAAACTCTAAAGCAATGTAATTATGTCCCCTTTGGAGCACTGGGCATTTTTTATTTAAAATAAACAGAAAGTTTGTATTTATTTCTAAAAACCATTCAAGATAGCAAAACCACAAAAGCTGGAAAAATGGCACTGTCAGTTTAGAAAATTATGACAATTAATTAACTTCATCTAACAGCATTGTTAAACTGTTAGGCTATTCTGGAAGTTTGGTCATCTTTACTAGTAAACTCAATCCCAGGAACAGGTTTCTACGGTCTTTGTGCCTTATAAAATAAACCAGACACTGGGCACATTGTAACTCTTAGGCCTTTTTAATCTACAAAGTTAGAATTATCTAAGATTATGCCATTGCAAATCCAGAACTCGAAAATAAATAAGAATAGCTTTATAAAATTAGATATTCTATCAATTTAACCTATCTGCTGATGTTATAATGAGATTTTCTTCTCTGTTGATTTAAAAGGTAACACCGTCATAACTTTTAAGCATGATATGTAAGAGGCTGTGTATTACCTTCCAAAGCTACTTCATATGGAGCATGGGGAATTATTGGGCAGAGTAGTGGGTAAACAGAAAAGTAAAAACAGTTTGTGAAGCTATCTGCTTATGGAGAACCAGAATGCTATTTGCAAGCAGCATTGGGGGAGTGACTTTGCTTATGTTCTATTTCAGTCTTAGAAGACATGATGTATGTAAGGCTAAATATGGACAACTTTGCTCCATTGTTGAATAATGTTCTGTAATTATATTGGTATGTGATGAAGAGAGCTCTTGGGGGAAATTAAGACTGGATGCCCTTGATTTAAGACAGACATGTGAGCTTCTGTTTGCACATTCTTAAAACTGTTGATGAATGAAGTGTCAGCCCCTGCAATTGTTGAGGACCACCTAAAGATGCAAAAAAGGCTTTGCAAATGATAAGGCCCTATCTTGCTCTGCATTTTTGACAATATTTTTGTGCTGATAAAATTCTTCACTGGTCGAGTAGGGATGAGCGTCCATAGCAAATCCACTATGAATGTAGGACAAAAGTGGGTAAGATTTTATAAACTGGCATGAAATGTCACAGACTGATTTGCACTTTTGGGTGATTTTATACATTAATCACTGAGTAACCTTCAGTTTTCCAAATAAAGAATGAAGGGAGCAATGGTGACATTTGTGATCATCTTCAGAAAAGGACTTGTTTAAACTCCTCACAGATGGAGAGATATCCAGCATAAATTGTTTTCACCAAGATGTCTAATTTTAAGCAGCTCTGGGGTGTCTGTGGGTAGTAGGGAGCAAACATTGTTTTGCATATGGAATTAACATAAACTTTACATACCATAGTCGCAGTTTCTCTAGATGATTCTGGAGACTCCCCTAAGGATTGAAAACCTCATAAAGAGACAAAACTTCTCTGTCACTTGCAATATACAAATGGAGCTAATGGAAACAAGCCACACAGGTGACCTTTCAAAAATCAAAGTGGGTTTCCACACATCTCGGATGGCTTAGTGCTCCTACAAGGATGGCATATGACATAAACTCCCAATTCTAGCCCAAATGAGACTATTACTTCTAAGCCAGCTATGTAGTTTCTTGATTGTACAACCAGTATAATTTATTCCAATATTTTCTGTATGTTAACTATGACAATAGATAATCAGTGATTGAGACTTTTAGTAAATGCTAAAGATTGAATGACTGTATAATGTTTACAAAACTAGTTGTAAGCATCACAACATGTTTAATGGGATACACTTGGGAAAATCTAATGCCAACTGATATTTTGATATTGAGAAGTATAACATGTGAAACTGCTCACTACAGGTAACTGGCATAAAGCCCCCGAGGCTACAACGTCATCAAAGTATATTTTGGCTACCAAATTTAAATGTTCTGCCCCAACTTCTTACTAGATAATCTTAAAATAGACTTTAAAATATTTTAAAATGTATTTATTAGTTACTTGACACCTGTCTGTGATAACTTGCCCCACTAAAAGCTAACGTAAAGGAGAAATGGTATGTTTTGCCTCACAGTTCCAGGATGTAGTCCATCAGGCAGGGAGATAATGGTGGCAAAAGCTTAAGACAACCAGTCCTATTCCATCAGCAGTCAGGAAGCTGGGGAGATCACCATTGGTGTTCACTCTAGTATATAGTCCAGGACCCCACCCACCTGTGTTGAGGTTGTGTCTCCATGTTTCAATGACTCCAGTCAAGACATTGTCTCATGGTTGATAAATAGGACCAACCATTGCTGAATATTTTCTTCATTTTCTGTTTGTTGGTTTTATACATAGCTTCAATTAATTTATTCTTGGTAACCCCAAGATTAATGCTGATAATAGTAAAAACACAAGTAAATAGTAACACCATAGATAAAGCTAGTTGCACACATTATTTGTCATGTTAAAAAGGCATTATCTTCAGATAGTTTTCTACATCTCCTTAATCTTCTTTCTGAATTTTAATTTCTAAATAGAGTTGAGACCTATTGTGCCCACACCAGATAAACATTGAGGGAGAAGATACTTATTCTTAAAAGATTTCAGAAAGAATTTCTGTGAGCCTGTTTATAGCAATACAACAATGAAATATATAATACTTTGAGTCATCCAGCTAGATCATTTCTAGTCCAGAAATCCCAAATTATAATATCAAAAAATGTTTGAATGTTAGCAAGGTGCCACATTTGGGAAAATCACATTTGACATAGTCTGATAGGTTGTAAGAGTCAAGACACAGAAACTCTATCATCTGTTGTCTAAAGTTATCTGCAGCCCTTGCACATAAACTATAAGAAACCCGTCTCAGACACGGGTTATCTCAATTTTATATATGTGAATTTCCCAAATCCAAAAATTCTGAAAGGTAAAAACCACTGTGTCCAGGCATCTCATAGAAAGATTGCCTCACCTTCCTAGCTTCCTGTCACCAGGCCACACTTCCTTGCTGTGGATTGGGAAAGCTGCGGGAATTGTGGTGCAGTACCCCTAGTGAGGCTCCTGATGCCACTGACGAGAATATTCTGATAGCAGAGGTGGAGACAGTGTTTCTACCTCATGCCTGTCACAGACAAATGGTAGGTTTATTCAGCTGCTGCAGAAGAGGGAATAATGTTTGTTAAAGTGTAACAAGGTTCAGAACCTACTGTATGTCACCCACACTCCACAGATAATGCAGCAGGAAATGAAGGCACCAAGTGTCTCTCTGTAACATCTGTTTTGTTATTTATTCCCATTGCTAGCATCTTTAATTTGATGAGACGGATACCTTCTGTGGTTTTGGAAGGAATCCCTTTTAGTAACTAAATTATTTCCAGTAGGAGAGGCTCTCACCTAAAACTGTCTCTTGCCGTCTCAACAGTGTGCTGGAGCAGCCAATGTGTAATACAGTAGCCCTGATGTGCCCTTTCTCTTTGCCTTTATAGCTGGTGCCACATACATCTTTGGAAAGAGCGGTGGCCTCATCCTCTACACCTGGCCAGCGAATGACAGACCCAGCACACGCTCGGACCGCCTGGCTGTGGGCTTCAGCACCACTGTGAAGGATGGCATCCTTGTACGCATTGACAGTGCTCCAGGACTTGGTGACTTCCTCCAGCTTCACATAGTGAGTACCTGCCGAGCCTGTTCTGGACTCTTTTGTCTTCCTGGTGATCTGAGCTTTGAGTTAGATAAGCACAGAACATTCTACATAAGTGTGACATAGGTATACATACATTTGTCTTCAATTGTCCACACTGTCATGCTCATAGGCCCCAGTGTCAAGAAAGAAAATTGTCCCTTCTAGACTCCTGTTTTTAACTTTGGTCCTGAAGGGAATCCCTTAAATGATCACTGGGTGTAGATAAGAGATTTATATGTTATGGTTCAAGTGAGATGTTGCAAGAAGCAAAGCCAAGAGCAATGTTAGTAACATCCTGAGGTAGGGATTGGCAAATATTTTCTAAAGGACAGTATATTAGCCTTATGGACTTTGCCGGTTATATAGTCTATTGGTTTTACTATAGATAGTGTGTTTTTAAGATGTGGTGAGTCTGTTCCAAAAGGAATTCATTCATAAAGTTTGGCTGCAAATGTGATTACAGGATTGAAAGGAATATGTGACGAAAGCTAAGGCTTTAGTAGCAGAGGACATGGCACAAAGGAAACTGTCCAGCAACCAAGTTGAGTTATGCGTGCATATTGCATATTTAACATTATCCTTTAGATCTTGTGTTTATGTGAGGGTAGAATTTTTACTCCCAGTCTCTGCAGATCATAAACAGTATCATGCAAAACAAAGAAATTAAAATGATTTGGAGGGGTAAAATTGCTTCCTTATGAGGATAGAAAATATTTTTATAGCAACAATTAACCCATTTTATCACCTGTGCAGTCTACAGTTAAGAAAGTAGGCTAAAGAAAGATATGATTCTCATCCGTAAGTGCCCCACGTGTAGCCACCAAGAGCAGAGAGAGAAATTGCCCTCGTTAGTTAGCAATGACAGGCTAGAAAGAATGGATTTAATTTGGAACAGAAAGGATTCAGTTTAAATAGCAGAGGGAAAAAGCAGTTAAGGAAAAAGATCATTTGGGATTAGTAGCAATCTCATAAAGGAGGAAAGGGGGCATTGGCTAGGAATCTTTGACTCAAACTGTTTGCTAATCTGCAGATCCAAAAAGCAGAATGTAGAGTTTCTTTGCTGAGCTCCTGAGTTGGAGCTGGCAAGTTTGGTCCACAGCAGCAGGCTTAGCCCCAGCAATTTTCTACTGGTGTTGTCTGGCAGTGGGACCAGCTCGATGTAAAAGGCCCTCCTTGGACTCTGAAAAGCATGAGGCATAAGTAAATCAGAATCTAGGTGGAGAATTTTTAATTCTCTCAGATGCTTCAGGAACCATATGGTGCTAGGAGCTGGAGCTTAAACATTATAAAAGCCCATGCCAAGGAGCAAAGAGAGAGGAAGCCATAGTCACTACAGTTTATCTTTATTTAGCCTCTAAGAGCCACCACCATTTACAAAACTCTGAGAGATTTATGCTGCATATAACTTAATGACTATTTCATGGCAGCTATAACTAGGCTATTATTACCAGCTCACTTGCATTTTCATGCTGATTTATTTTCTCTCTCTTTTTTTTTGTTCAGTGTGACTTCCTAAAAAAATATGATTCGGCCTAGTCTTATGACTAGTTTATACTTTTTTGTGCCATCAGATAATATGCTTTTAGTGTATCCATTTCTAATCATTCATGTTTGTTATGGTGTCTTCATTCTTAAGGGAGGGTTTTTTTTTTAATGTCACCCTTTGGCAGTTTGCTTGGAATGTGTCTGGGAGTTGGATCCAAACCATGTGTAGGTACTAGGAACTTCTCAGAGGAGCTAGAACACTGTGCCTTTATTAAGTTATATAGTTCTTTGGTGACTTTGGAAAGCATCTCTAACCCTGTTTTGGCAATTAAGTAATATGCATTTGCTTATATTTGTGACTGCAAGCTCTCTGTATAAAAATGTACTTTACTTTTGATATTATATTTTAGTAGTACAAGTTTAAAAAATCACTAGAAAATTTCCTTCAGGATATGTAGTAGCACCTTGGAGCAAATCAATGAGGTTGATATAAACAAACACTGAAGACCCAAAGATGTTTCCTTCCAAACCTAGGGTAGGGATTTTATAAAGGAGTCATTTTTTCCTACTGCAATGTGAAAAACTTCATACATTTGTGAAGTAAGTAAACTTTTAATAAACAGGTACCCTTTCCTTGCTCCACTCATTTGAAATCACCTTTCATCTGCTAATGAGCCTGGCTTTTTCTGTATCCCTTCACCCACCCAATCAGAATAAAAGAACCAAAATAGAAAAAATAAAATCACAAGATTGTTGTAAAACCCAGCCTCTCTTGTTGGACAGTTATGTAGAAGCATCAGGAAAACAAAACAATAAATACCAGTTAGGTTCCTTCCTGAGACACCTCATGATGGCTTCATCTGCTGGAAGGTTTGTATTACTGTACCAAGAAAATTATTCCAAAAGAAAAGCACTCAGGAGACATTGTAGAAAGCAAAAATAATTGGATGGAAGGCAAAAAGATTTCATTCTACACTGGTTCTTTTTAAAACATTAATTTGACCAATTTTTTTTTTTTGTATTTTAAGTTGTATTTCTCAGGACCCAGCTATACCACTTTTGGGCATATACAAAGTAGAGAGTTTCACCATGTTCTCCTGGGCTCCTCCTTATGTTCCTCTTCCACCACCCACTCCAATTCCTTAAGATCCTTTCCAGAGGGGAAGGAGAGGTGGCTCAGCATTCAGAACTATTGCTGCTCTTCTGGAGGACCCAAGCTCAGTCCCTAGCACTCATCTTGGGTGACTTACAACAATCTGTAACTCTAGCTCCAGAGGACTCAACCCTCTCCTGCCCTTTGCAAGCAACCACATGAATATGAACAGACAGACATCACAAACAGAAAAAAGTAAATTTTTTAAATTTAAAAATGAAGATTCCTTTCTTTCTACTCCTTTCATGTGATGGTTCCCTTTCTCCAACACACACACACACACACACACACACACACACACACACTTTAAACCCAGAGCCTACATTTGAGTGAAAACCTACTTTCTTTCTGAGTCCAATAAATGTCTTAGCATAATTGTCTCTAGTTAGAGAAATTTTCTGGCAAATGTCATGAATCCAGTTTTTTTTTTAACAGCTGAATGAAATCCCAGTGTATATATGTACCACATGTTTACCCACTCCTCTGCTGACAGGCATACAAGCTTCCTATTTCTTAGCTATTGTGAGCAGAACTGCAATAAACCTGGATATGCAAGTATTTCTCTGGCATATTGACATAGTCTTTCAAGTATCTACTAGGGAATGGCATATCTAGATCATATGATAATTATACTTTAATTCATTTATCAGCATTGCTGAGGGGCTTCATACATGTAGCCAATGCTCTACCCCTGAATGCTTCCCCAGGACTAGTTTCAGTATTGTTTTTAGCTAATTCCACATTGACTCCCATAGTGCCTATACAGCAGTGTGATAGTACATCTTTCTCACATCCAACCTATCATTTGTTTCTATTATTTCAAATTAAATTTATTCATTTACTTTACACCCTGACCTCAGTTTCCCTCCCCTCCTCTTCTCCCATTCCCTCCATGACCTCCCCTCTACCCAAACCCCAAATCCACTCCTCCTTTGTTTCTGTTCAGAAAGGGGAGACCTCGCATAGGTATCAACAAAGCATGGCATATGATATTGGGGTAGGACTAAGCTCCTCTCCTTGTATTAAGGCTGGGCAAGGCAACCCAGTATGCAAAATAGGTTCCTAAAGCCGGGAGATTTCTCAGGACCCAGCTATACCACTTTTGGGCATATACCCACAGGATGCTCAATCATACCACAATGACACTTGCTCGGCTATGTTTATAATAGCTTTTTTCATAAAAGCAAAAACCTGTAAAAAAAAAAAAAACCTAGATGTTCTTCAACTGAAGAATGGATAAAGAAAATGTGGTACATTTACACAATGGAATAATACTTAACTATTAAAAACAATGACATCATGAAATTTGATGACAAATAAATGGAACTGGAAAAAAATCATCTTGAGTGAGGGAATCCTGACCCAGAAAGAAAAACATAGAATACACTCACTTATAAGCAGATATTAGCTGTAAAATAAAGGATCAATGTGCTATAATCCCCAAGGAGGGCCCAAGGGTGGATGCAGTAATGTCCCAGTGATGGGGGAATAGAAAAGATATATTCTCCTGGGTGGATTATGGGTGGGTGATCATAAGAGCATGAGGGTTTTTATGTTTCTTAATTGTAACTATCTATCTGGCTGGTGAGAGAATCTTGTAATCCCCAATTCTCTAATGGCTAAGATTATTGAACATAAATCAAAAGAGCAACAACACAAAAGTTTGGTCATTTGTACTTCTTTGCAGAGTTGCATGTTCAGTGTATTAGCACACTTGTTGATTGAATGATTTATTGTGGAAAAAAAGAAGTTATGGCAGACATGAAGAACAGATGCAAGGCACCCATGTTGGTTCAGTTTGTGCTATTGTAACAAAATGCCTGAGACTGAACACTTTGCAAATCCTGGGACTTTACTTCTCACAATTTCTCACAGGAAGACTTGGAAGTCTAAGATCCCTATGCTGGCTGATCAGGGCTCCATAGCTGAGCTTCCAATATAGTATTTGTTCACTCTGTTATGTAAAGGGGAGGCATATGCCTTCTCATGGCAGTAGAGAGGGAACTCACTCTTCAAGTTTACTAAAATCCACCTCTTAAAAATATCTTCCTCCCCACATTGTTTCATTGGATATTAACCTTACAACTCATGAAATATGGGGGACAATATCATTCTAGAACAGCAGGATAAACTGCATTGATGTGAGATAAGGACCAAATAACTGGTGTTGATGTGCTCCTACTGAGTTTGTATAGAAGTAAAGCATCATTCTTTCACTTTGTATGTTAATTGTAGAAGGGGAAGTTCTGTGTTCAGTGTTCCTTACAGTGGTAGTCAGGCTAATTAAATTAGATACACAGCAAAGTAGAGATTGATATTATCCATAATGCAGTGTCTATATTTTGTCTATGTAATAAACAGTAGTAAAGCAACTGTGAGAGACAAAAATAAAATTTCATCTTGTAAATTGGTACTGAAAATAATTCTTATAAATTCTTGAAGTTAT